TGCGTGCTTTCAGAATTAAAGATTCAACACTATTCAAGATAGTAAAGATTGAGAAAAATCATGACTGCTCAGTTAACACTATGAAAGCTGATCAAAGGCATGCAACTTCAAAGTTGATTAGTGGTTACATTATCGACAATCTTCGAGACCCAAGGTTTGAAGTTACACCAGCCTTTGTCATGGCAGAAATGCAAAAATTGCATGGACTAGACATTGGTTATCACAAAGCGTGGCGTGCTATTCAATGTGCTTCAACTTTAATAAGAGGAACTCCTGAAGAGAATTATGATTTATTGTCTTCATACTTGTATATGATGAAAAGTAAAAATCTGGGAACATATACTAACATAAAGATAGACGACAACAACAGGTAAACAATCAAAAAAGAGATTATTAGTCTGTTTTATAAACTTTAGGGCATGTTGTCCTTAACCAGTGAAAAAGTTAAGGGCGTGATGTCCTTAACTTTGATGTGTGCAATCAAAAAGTTAAGGACACTTGGTCCTTAACTTAGAGTTGCAAGTTAAAAAATTAAGGACATGGTGTCCTTAACTTTTGAACTTGTAACTCTAAGTTCAGGACTCCATGTCCTTAACTTTTGAGCTTGTAACTCTAAGTTAAAGACTACATGTCCTTAACTTTTTAACTTGTAACTCTAAGTTAAGGACTACATGTCCTTAACTTTTTAACTTGTTACTCTAAGTTAAGGACCAAGTGTCCTTAATTTTTGAGCTTGTTAGTCTAACTTCAGGACTATTTGTCTTTAACTTTTGGGCTTATAACCTGAAGTTCAGGACTACATGTCCTTAACTTTTGACTTTGTTAGTCTAAGTTAAGGACTACCTGTCATTAACTTCTGTTAACCTTCTATTATACTGTATTTTGCAGGTTTCCTTATATGTTTTATGCATATGGATCATCAATAACTGGTTGGAATTATTGTAGACCAGTGATTGTTGTTGATACAAATTTTTTGAAGTCAAAATTTCGTGGTGTTTTAATGATTTCAGCTTCAAATGATGCAAATAACCAAAATTTTCCACTAGCCTTTGGAATTGCAGAATCTGAAAATAACAATTCCTATGAGTGGTACTTTAGTGAACATTGCAATGCAATTGGGAGCCGTGAAAATTAAATATTTTATTAGATAGGCATCAATCTATTGCATATGGCATTGCAAAGTTATATCCTGAAAGCCACCATGGGATTTGTATCTATCATTTGGAGCAGAACCTAAAGTGAAGGAAAGTGAAAAGTGAGGTCATAAAACTTTTTCAAAGTGCTTCAAGAGTATACAGGGGCAAAGAATTTGATCTATACATGTCAGATATAGCAAAAGTAGATAAGAAGACTTATGACTACTTGATGGAAGAACCACCAGAAAGGTGGGCACGTTCTTGTAGTCCACGACGAAGATATGACATGCTCACAACAAACATAGTTGTGTCAATGAATTTTGTGCTATTAGAAGCAAGGGAGCTTCATATATTAAGAATGATGGATTTCATCTAAGTGAAGCTACAACGTTGGTTTTATAAAAGAAGAAATGAAGCAAAAGGATTTTTTTATGACGTTTCTAATTGGGTAGAAGAGGAATTGAAGAAAAAGATAGATTTAGCATTTACTTTGAATGTAAGTATTATGTTCTTTGTTTAGCTTATTATTTTAATGATAATTTAACATAATGTACTAATTTATAATTTTTCAATATTGAAGGTCTTCCCTGATGATTCATGGCATTGTAGAGTTGAGGAAGAAGGAATTACTTTCTTGGTGGACTTCAATAAAAGAACATGTGGTTGTTTTCGTTTCAATCATCAAGAAGTCTAACTTTTGCTCGCACTGGTACTTAAAGGAATCTTGGCTGAAAACATATGAAAGACAAATACATCTTGTAGGACATATTGATTATTGGATTATATCAGAGAGTGTTAAGTTATAAATTATTAAACCTCTAGATTTCAAAGTGCCACCAGGTAGAAGGCAGAAGAAAAGGCATATTCCATCTACCGAGTCATCAAAAATAACATTCAAATGTGGTCGTTGCAGAAGAATTGGTCATAATAGAACAACTTGTATATATTCTCTGGCAGTCCATCCATTTTCAAGGAAGCATAGAGAATAGTAGATATATCCACTTATGTTTATCTACTCTTTTAAGTTTTTGCTATAAATTGGATTCATTTAGATTGTTTTTATTTGAGCAAATGACCTGAATTTTCAAAGTTTCTTTGCGCTTACGTGATTTTTGTTTCTTTTGAGTTCCAAGTTTAAAAGTTAAGGACACTTGGTACTTAACTTTGAATTCCAAGTTCAAAAGTAGAGGACTTGATCCTTAACTTTGAATTCCAAGTTAAAAAGTTAAGGACACTTGGTCCTTAACTTTGATTTCCAAGTTCAAAAGTTAAGGACACTTGGTCCTTAACTTTGAGTTTCAAGTTCAAAAATTAAGGACACTTGGTCCTAAACTTCAAGTTTCAAGTTCAAAAGTTAAGGACAGATGGTCCTGAACTTAGACTTACAAGTTAAAAAGTTAAGGATATTTGGTCCTGAACTTCGATTTCCAAGTTCAAAAGTTAAGGACACTTGGTCCTTAACTTTGAGTTTCAAGTTCAAAAATTAAGGACACTTGGTCCTAAACTTCAAGTTTCAAGTTCAAAAGTTAAGGACAGATGGTCCTGAACTTAGACTTACAAGTTAAAAAGTTAAGGATATTTGGTCCTGAACTTCGATTTCCAAGTTCAAAAGTTAAGGACACTTGGTCCTTAACTAATACTTACAAGCTCAATACACTTAATTTAGGGATTGCAAATGGACAAATCAATACTTGACAAAAACAAAGAAATTAATAACATGATGCCTTCATATTACTTCTGAAACTGTAATTTGGCATAGCTGTGACCAAAAATTATGTTATGCAAACAAAATAAAAGAGCCTTGTGAACAATTTACAAGATATTTCAAAATTCATATGGATTCTTTACAACTAAACTATAGCTCCTTTGGTCATGAAGTTTCATTTTCACTATCCACTACTAGAATTCCTGTAAAAAGCGACCAAAAATTAGCGACCAAATTTGGTCTTTCAAGAAAAGTGACCAAAGTTGGTCGCCAAACTGCCGAAAATAATAAAAAAATATTTGAAATACTTTAGCGACCAAAGTTGGTCGCTATTTGGCCGCAAATTTAGTC